ATGGTTTGCATTCCACATAAGGGTGATTATGCTATTGATAATTTTATCGAATTTAGTGATGTTTTTGTGTTTTCACGACACTTTATCCAAAAAAAATGGCATTCATTTAAGCCTCAAGAGAGGGATCGGTCAGAATACCAGGCTATTATATCTTCTACTAAATGTTGTTTATTGTCTTCTTTAATTTATGAGTTTAATCATTTTCATATCATTTTATCTCCAAAAATTAGGAATGTGCTTTTATCTGTTTCTATATTGCAGCATCCTTTCATTTTTTTTTTCCAATTACTACATTGTACTTCCATTTTGTTTTAAAATCTACCCGAATATAGATTTTTACTTTTTATGTGCTTTAATCTCACTAATTTGTGCATTTTGTCCTTTGTAGAGTTTGTTGAATGGTAACTATTTCTAAAGACAACAACATGTGCATCAGTGTTCAACCTTATGTCAATTTTTTATCATCAGAAATAAGAATATATAGATATAGATCTCTACCCTTACACAATTGCCCCTGAAAATCAAACCATATCTCATGTACAAAGTGTTTGACTCATTTGTATTTATTTCAAGCACATGCTTTACTGCTATAAGTTTGGTACTAATTCAGAGGATATTGCATAAGATTGAATTGGCTCAATTCTTAAGTTATAGGTGGATTTAAAGCATAATTGGAATTTGCAATGCAAATTAGCCTTCGTTGGCCGATTTTACCCTTACTGTCATCGTCCATGATTATTAAAAAGTTATGTAATTTTGATGATGGATATAAAATAAAGTTAACTTTGAATTGGATTTTGGGATTTTTTTTACTTCAATTTTTGAACGGCAAAACATGAACTAATATGGATGAAATACGAAAATTAAAAATGAATACATTTTTTTTCATTATCTTGAACATAAATGAACGGTATAAGATAATGTGATTTAACTAACTTTGAACATATTTATGTTATATTTCCAACAATATAGTAATAAGAACGTTAGTTATATTTCCAGTAAATAAATTTGACACGTTTGATTAGTAATTGTTAAAACCTCATATACTTATATTTTTATCAAAGATACGTGTGAAAAATATATTTTTGGCTGACAAATAAAAGTTTTATTTAAAGTGTTATGAATAGTACGGCTATTAAAAGTTACACGTATTTTAATTATTTTAGGAATTGAAGCATTAATTTATATGTTAGATCAAAATAACATATAATGTTTGTCTGACTTATAAATATCAAGATAAGATAAAGCCTTATGTATTATAACTTAGTAGTTATATATCATAGCCTCGGGGATAAGCTACAGACGAACTAGGGATAGGGATAGGTTGAAATTTCAAAGGAGGTAAGATTCAATTTCCTGAATCCATTAGGGATGCGGACCGGATTGTGTAGGTTGATGATGGAAGAAGTGTCCCTCGATTTTCGCCAAAAAGAAACTATTCATCATGTCTTATTTTTAATATGACATGTTTTCTAAAGCAAACTAATCACTAAATTGAAACCAATGCTTAGTGATACTTTCCAATACATATTGTCTTATTTTTAATATGAAATGTTTCCAAAAACAAACTAATAGCTAAATTTGAACTAATCATTGCGCGATGAAAAGAAAGTAATTGCCGATCCATGGTTCTCAGACTTTCTAATATGCATCGGTAATGGAGTTAAAGAAATGGTGGACGGAAGCTTTATTCGCATCCTTGATGATATCGTAATTCCCCTAACTGAAAAAGAAAAGTCATTGAATGTTTTGATTTATGCAATCTATCCGTCCTTGGAAATAAATATATTTGAATCAGATATGTTATTTCGTGGGCAATATTATCTACAAGAAACGACAGTGTCGATGAGATTAATGATTATTTGATCGATCAATTCCATGGAAAAGAATGAGTTTACTACAGTTTTGATGAAACAATAGACGATATAAATAACTTCTATCTTGTGGAATTCTTGAACATATTCAATGTTAGTCGTTTATCCTCTCATTACATACGACTGAAAATTGGATGCCCAATAATATTGTTAAAGAGTCTTGACCCATCAAATGGATTGCATAACGACGCTCGATTGATATGTAAAAGTTTTCAGCACAGTATCATTGAAGTGAAATAGTTGTTGGTCAACATGTTGAAAATAGGGTATTTCTGCCAAGGATTCTTCTATATCCGTTTGAAGATGACATGTTCTCATTCAAGCTGAAGAGAAAACAATTTTCAATTCGATTATGTTTCACGATGACAATCAATAAAGCTCAGGGACAAACAATTATGAATGGTGGAATTTATCTTCCAGAATCAGTTTTCTCACATGGCCAACTTTACGTGACATTATACAGAGGGATATCACATGTCAATACAAAAGTACTAATGATCCGTGACGAACAATTCAACGACAGTGAAGTCTATACATCAAATATGGTGTATATAAAAGTGTTGCACGATTAATAATGCATAATCAATCATGTGTTAATGTGTATTTGTAAAGAATCCAAACTTTTTATTTTTAATTCTTACTGATTTTGTTTCTGCTAGCAAAAATATTATTGATAATTGTTTAAATGTAGTAAATTGTTTGCGCAAAAGAACTAATCGTTTCTACAAACTAATTTCTGAAAACATTTGCATCCGACGTTTGGCGCGGGTAAATGGCTAGTATATA